TTAAAATTGTAAATATATCAAGAAAACATTGTGTTCAACTAATACTTATATGTATAGTGGTGTCTCATTTTATTTGTTGAAAAATGCAGATTTGGGGGTTTTTAATCAGAGAATTTTTTAAACAAGAGAATATGCTATTTAAAAAAAAACAGAAAACAGGATCCCTGACTTTATAACATACTAACAGTGTTGGTGCATGGCTAATGAGAAATATACATGGCTGATGCAATAAAATAGCAGATCTGTAAATATTACAGCATACTTACAACATATATTTTTATTGTAGAACAAATCTGACTTCATTTTTTTCACAGTAGAAAAGACACTAAAGCCCAAGGAGCTTAAATTGTCTTTAGCAGGGGTCAGCAACTACAGCCTGAGCTCGATCTGGCCTGTGAAGAGATTTGATCTGGTCCATGAAGGTTTGATCTTATCTTCAGTGGCAGTCAGCAGCAGGCCATGGCAGGCTGCAGTGGGGAGAAATAGATGACACATGGCAAGCAGGGCACAAGAATAGAGGCTTCCCGATGAGTCTGCTCTGTCCTCCTGCAGCCATCACTTTTCTTGCTGGTGATTGGTGTCACTCAGCGACAGCAGTGAGCAGCCACAGTAAGAGGGCATGAGAATGCCCATCAGGTTTGGGAAATATTGGCCCAGTGTGACTTTTAGGCTAGGGATAGAAGTTACACATAAACTGGTTTAAGTGATCACAGAACGTAAGTTCAGTGTACATGAACCGATTTCCAAATAGCCGAATCTGGTTTAAGATAAATCTGGTTGAATGTAGTATTAGACCCTGGCTGTGGTTCCACCATGCAAGAGGGGACAGAGTGGGAAATAAACCCCCTCCCTACCCCCTTCGCCATGCCGGATAGCATCTGGCCACACCTCCACTCCTGCCACTGGAACAGCGAAGGGGTCCCAGACAGGGGATGCTGCACCCCAGCCAGGGAGATCCTGTCTGGGGTCCGTGCCACTGGGACAGGGTTGGGGGGATGGGACAGGGGGACTAAATCCCCCTCCATCCCCCTGTTTACTTTGGCTGCTGACAGGGCTGGCCACACCCCTCTGCCGCTCAAGTGGCAAGGGTAGGTGGGCAGGCATTGGGCCAGAGAACAGGGTCTGGCCACGCTCCTTCCCTACCACACACCCCTAAAAGCCTGGCAAGGGCTGCTTTCCCCTCCCCCTCAAGGTACATCCCAGGTGGGATCCCTGCAGGCCAGGGTGGGGGTTTAAACCTCTCCCCAAACATACTCAGGCCTGCCAGGGCTTGACC